TCCCCAGTGTTAGTGGGTATTTCCTGTGTCTTTTCAGACTCATTTTTACAGTAAGCAACAGCTTCCCCTTTTCCCACCTGTTTATTAGATCATTTCGTTCACTGTTTCTTTTTTTATGGGCAGGACTGTCCAAAACTTCCACCTTGCCTTTTCCATCTTCTGAATGAGGAAGGTTAATGTGATTGTGTGACTTCAGAGGGGTGCCATCATCTTCACCTCACATTCTGAACCGTCCTCTTCCTTTGGATCACTATGAAGCTCGGAACACTTTCCTCTCTTTGGGAACGCAGAGGACACTGCGTGTGTGTGTGTGTGCATGTGTGTGTGTGTGTGTGTGTGTGTGTGCACGCGCGCACACACTTCTTAGGCTAAGAAGTTGGGAACGTCCTCTTATTGGATTATAAGGAGTACTATATTGAACCAGGAGGAGGGATGCTTAAAGAGTAAATGGATATGATGGGGACAGGGTATCTGGTAGGAAATGAAATAGAAAGGGGAAGAATTTATGGTATGCTGGGAAGAGTAGCTCTTCCAGGGAAAAAGAGAGACAGAACTGGGGACACTCACCATTGGTGGCAGGTGTGAAGTTGGAATCTTTTATCAAGGTGTCCAAATTTCTTTTTGCCACAACAATGTTTTGCAGGGCATTCTGAGTTTCAAACTTGGTGAAATTGCTAAACTCAGGCAGCCGCCACACAGTTTCCCTTGTTTTCAGGTCCACGTAGAATAGCTCATCTCCGTCAAATTCATATGTGAACTGGCCAGAGGCGCCATACGTCTGGTAAACATTTGTGCCATAAGTGCCCACGTGGTCAGCTGGTGAGTGGCCATTCAGGAGCAAGGAGATATGAATGGGAAGGTGGAATATAGAGGGAGGGGAAAAGCTTTATTATACAAAAGCACAAGAAACTCTGTTCCATAGTGTAGCTTACATTGGCATGGTCTGCTATCAGTCCCTGTGTCTGTGTTATGTACCTTAGGGTATCGAGATGTAAGCTCTTAACATGACCTCCTAACAACTTTCAGGCACATATATTGTCTTCCCATGATAACGTGTACTCCAGAAGGTATTGGGATGCTATGACTTGTTCCTGGTAGAGTCATGGTACATAGTAAGAATTCAGTCATATTTGCTAAATAAAAATAAATAAGTGCATTTAATTCTTAAGCTTATCTCTAATCACTTAATCTCCCCATACTGTCTTATCCTTTCAAAGCATTCATCTTATTCTAACACACCATAGAGTTTATTTACTGATTGAATATATTTTTAAATTATCTGAGTTCTTTATGGGTAAGAACCTTGGTTTATGCTAAGCACCAGAGGAGTGCTTCAGACACACTCAGTGTCTGTTGAACTAATGAATCTCATTTGGAAAATGTTTTGGAGAATCCACTGTATTCTATATCTCTTCATTTCCCTCTGTTTTGCTGTAGGTCTCAGTAACTGTTGTCATTGCCATGACAAAGCAGGCAAAGTTCTGGCTCGGAGACTGAAGGGTAGAGAAATGAGCCCTAGACCAGGAAGGTGTGTGAAAAGTAGATGGAGAGCAGAGGGGTGAACCAGCCAAGTAATGGATCTGTTTTTACCTCTTTCTAGAGCTTTACTGGCTAGAGGTGACAGGGCTGCTGGTTTGGGCTGATACGCTGAGACTAACCTACTTGAAGTCCCTGTGTTTTCTATCATGCATCATCCCAACTTTGTGGAACACATACGGGAAGTGATACTCAGAATAATCATGCTGTATCCCGGCACTTATATAGGTCTCTGTTTTGTTTATTTAAAATATATTTTATTGGTTTTTTACAGAGAGGAAGGGAGAAGTAAAGAGAGTTAAAAACATCGATGAGAGAGAAACATCGATCAGCTGCTTCCTGCTGAAGATGTGCCTTCCCTACTGAAGATGTGCCTGCAACCAAGGTACATGCCCTTGACCAGAATCGAACCTGGGACCCTTCGGTCCACAGGCCAATGCTCTATCCACTGAGCCAAACCAGTCAGGGCATAGGTCTTTGTTTTTAAAATACACATCTGTGTACTTATTTTATTTGATCACATGTTCTTTAGAACAATGAGTCAATCAATTAATTTTACATATGAAGAATCTGGAGATCAACGTAATGAATTGACTTGTTTAATGTCATCCAATTAATTCGTTTTATTTTTCCAATTGCAATTATCTTCAATAAAGTTTATCCTCCTCATTTTCTGAGCCCAAACCCAGAGTATAAATTATGTTGAAAACAGAAAATGAATGACTTGCTACTTTACACATGTGGCACAAAACATTTATGGGGATGGTCATTGTAAGAAACTGGACAGCTAAAATGCAATAACTGATAGGTTGAAGGAGTTTTGAGTGGGTTGGAAGTAGCAGGCTCCCAAACTGCTGTTAAAGAAAAGCAGTACGTTGGAGAAATATACCTGCTGCGAGGAGCTACCAGAGTTAAGGCCACAACAACGTCCAGGCGGTGTTGGTTGGTTGGTTGGTTGTGACATTGGAAAGAGAACAGGGCCCGGTAACCACTGCAGTCACCGGGACAGCATGACAAGCTGAGCATAGGTTTGGGCTGGGGTTTGGTTTCTGGGAGGGAAAATAAACATAGAATTCCGATGGGAGGGAACTGGGTTTCACGACCACTATGTCTAAACAAAGGCATTCCCAGTTCTTACAATTCTTCCTAAATCCACACCCTCACGGAGCACTCACCCCTGATGTCTCCACCTCCACAGGGGCTCGGGGTGGAGGCCAGAGCCAGGGCCCCTAGAATCAGAGCTTCCGCGGGGGCCATCCTCCTCCCAGGTCTCCTCAGAAGTGGCTGCTCTGAGTGGTGCAGGGAGGAGACGGTGCAAAGAAATGGTCTAGACAGGAGAACCAGAGGAAGGAAGCACCAGGAGGAGCCAGACCTCGCCCGCGTGTAACCGCAGCCGCCAGAGGAATTCCCCGAGCTGACACCCCATTGCCAGCTGAAGCTCTTTTAGGAAGCGATCTGGAAGGACTCTGGGAAGTTCCCTAGGGGCACAGGCTCCCCGGGAAGCAAAAGGGGGGCTTTTTTTCTTTTAAATTCAGTAAAATTTTAAAAAACGGGAGGCCCCCCCCCTTTTACCAAAATTTTTGGGGGGGGGGTGCCCCCCGGGGGGGGGGGGGGGGGGGGCTGCTGGGTCACTCAGGGGTGGTCCCTGGGCAGGGTCCTTTGTGTTATGTTCCTACTGCCTCTGGGACGTCTGCCCTTGCCGGCTGTGCCCCCCTCGCCACCCACACACCCACTGTGTTTTAGGTGATTGGGATCCAGGAGGAGCACAAGAGACAAAAGTTCTGCATTTAGGAAACTTCCTGTATTTTGGATCAGCTCTGTTCTCAAAAAGACCTCCACTAGTGGGAGCCAATTAACATCCCTCCCTGTCCGCATCCCCCTCCACTTGTACTCCTTAGTCAAGTTCTTCTCTCACTTTCTCAAAAGCACCCTAATTTTAAACACCTGTATTTTCAAACATTGATGACACCCTGTAGCGCTGTAAGTCACGTGAAGTGCGCACTAACAGGGTGCCCTGCTCCCCTCCCGGCGCCTCTGCTCTCTGCACTGTGGCCTGCGATGGCTGCCTGTCTGAGCCGAAGCTTTGGCCATGACTCACACCCAGGAGAACCGCCTGGGTTATGTGGGTCCTGAGCGTGGCTCCACCTGTGCAGGGTTGGCCCTGGAATTTTGGCAGAGATACTGGGAGCTGCTGGTGTCTCATGTCTCATGTTCCCACTGACATGTGTCCGTGAACCTGGAGGTGTTTTCTGGTTCTATTAGAATCTACTCCATTTACCACGAAGCCTCCAACTCTGCACAGAACACAGTTTTTTCCTCATATCGTTCTAAGCTACACTGCATCCTGGAGAAGTGTCCTGAGATGCTGGCAGCAGACTGAACACTTTGTAGTGACATTAGATTTCACCTATAATTATCTTCTTATTCATTTTAATCCATTTAGTGGGCTGGAGTTTTAAAGGCACAGGATCAGGGCACCATCAAACAGTAAGAGCCTGGTTTCAGAGGTCGAGAGGAATAAAGGGAAGTCCAGGCCAAGTCCTGCCACCTGGCAATGGACAGTAGATGTGTGTGTGTGTGTGTGTGTGTGTGTGTGTGTGTGTGTGTGCGCGCGCGCACGCACGTGCAAGTGTCAGGGGAGGTTGGGAAGGTTTGCTACTCTGACGTCTGCCTGTCCCTCTGTTTCATTGATCTGTTACATTGGTCATTTCTTAGTTGCTTTTGAGGCCAGAATAGCAGCTTTACACTTAGCAACACAAAATTATCAGTAAGCTGACTAATAAAGAATGAGTATGACATTGACCAACATAGAATCCCTTTTGTCTGATAGGGCAAAACATGCTTCTCTTGGTAATTTAGTGGAAGAAGATGCACTGTTAAATAATGTGAAAATTTCCAACAATTTGCTAGTATTCTGAAGCATATTTTAGAAAATGTGATTTAATGTAGAATGTTGTAATTCAATTGCATGTTATGTTAATTATCGCTGTTTCCACAGTGAGGATTTTCTGGGACCTCCTGTAACAGCACTCAAGTTACTATGTTGATACAGTAAAAGTCTGTATTTTTTAATGTGCTTTAAAATTTAAGTTTATCATTAGTTTTATTATCAGTTCCAGGACCTCTTTATAGTCACAAATTGACCACTGTTGACATCATATCCTAACAGCAGAGGCTGGAGGGAACTGCCGATAAGTACACAGACTCTGTAATAAAAAAGACTGAGATTAAAATACTCTATCTTGCCCAGCCAGTGTTGCTCAGTGGTTGAGCATTTACCCATGAAGCAGGAGATGTAGGTTCGATTCCCAGTCAGGGCACATGCCAGGGGTTTCAGGCTCGATCCCCAGTAAGGGGCAGGCAGGAGGCAGCCAAAGGATGATTCTGTCATCACTGATGTTTCTATCTCTCTCTCCCTCTCCCTTCTTCTCTCTAAAATCAATAAAGTTTAAAAGAACAAAACAAAACCTTTAAAATACTCGCTGTTATTGTAAGCAATTGCATAACTTCAGACAATTTATGGACATCATTTTAACCCAGCATTCTTAACTGTAAAATGAAAATGGTACATCTTACCCAGTAATTTGTTAATATTTTAAAACTAAACTACATAAGTATAGTTATTGAATTAGTAGGCATAGGTTAGTCAAAAGATCCTCGTTTTATCCTTTTAATGTCTGTAGGATCTATACTGGTCCCTCTTTCATTCTCTTATTGCTAATTTTTGTTTCTCTTCTTTTATTGATTAGTGCTCCTCTGGGCCAGCAGAGAGTGGGCGCCATGGAGTGAATTTCCTGTGTCTGGGGATGACATGTGTCCCGCCAGCCTGCCTGCATCCCACTCAGGGGCTCTTAGCTCGTTACCCCTGTGTCCAAGATGGCAACTGTCAAGCTTATGAAGAATTTAACTTCAGAGGAGGCCGTTGGTCACAGTAAGATCTCCATTATAGGGACTGGGTCAGTTGGCATGGCCTGTGCCACCAGCATCCTAGGGAGGGGCCTGAGTGATGACTGTGCCTTGGTGGCTGCTGCTGAAGGCAAACCAAAGGTGAAACATGGATCTTGAACATGGCAGCCCTTTCCTGAAAATGCCAAATATTGTTGCCAACAAAGAGCACCTCGTGGAATTTACACTGCAAAATCTGGCCTCGTGATTACTACAGCAGGTGCACGCCAGGAAGGGAGAAACACACCCTAATTTAGTCCAGCGAAATGTGGCATCTGCGACTTAATGATCTATATATATAAAAGCCAAGCAACTGGAACGGTGCCCCCCTCACCTGGCCCCGCTCCCAGTCACGCACCCCCATCCGAGGCGGGGCTGGCCGGCCAACCACCCATGCATGAATTCGTGCACTGGGCCTCTAGTATCTCTATATTTCCTCCTCTCTCTAGCCTCTGAAAACTACCACTCTGTTCTCTGTTTTTATGAATTTGACTACTTTAGATTTCCAATATAAGTGGTGTTATGCAGTGTTTGTCTTTCTGTATCTGGTTTGTTTCACCCAGCATAGTATCCTCCAGGTTCATCCATGTTGTAACAAATGCAGGTTTTCCTCATCTTTAAAAAAAATGTATTATGTGTGTTTTTTTTTGTTAATCCTTACCTAAGAATTTTTTTCCATTGATTTTTAGGGAGAGAGTGGGGGGGGGGGAAGGGTACATGTGCATGAGAGAAAGGTGGAGGGAGGGAGGAGAAAGAAAGAAACATAGATGTGAGAAAGACATTGTTTGGTTTGGTTGCTTCCCGCATGTGCCCGGAGAATTGAATCTGCAACCCAGTTATATGTCCTTGATCAGGAATCAAACCCATGACCCTTTGGTGCCCAGGCCAATGTTATAACCACTGGTAAGGGCAGCTTTCCTCCTTTTAAAAGACTGAATAGTATTTTTCATTGTATGTATTTACCACATTTTATTTATCCATTAATCTATCAATAGACATTTAGGTTGCTTCCATGTCTTGGCTATTTGAATAATGCTATAATGAACATGGGAGAGCAGATATCACTTCAAGATCTTAATTTAAATTCCTTTGGATATATACTCAGAAGAGGAATTGCAAGGTCATGTGGTAGCTCTATTTTAAATATTTTGAGGACTCTTCTTACTGTTTTCATAGTGGCCACACCAATCTACATTCCCATCAACAGTGTACTAGGGTTTTCTTTTCTGGATGTCCTCATCAACACTTGTTGTCTTTAATTTTTATTATAATAGTCATCCTATTTGGTGTGAGGTGATATCTCATTTTGGTTTTAATTGGAATTTTCTTGATGATTAATGATGTTGAACACCGTTTCATATATCTGTTGGTTTCCTTTTGAAATGTATTTAAAAGTCAAAAATAATTATAAGACTGTATTGTTGGGTTTATAACTCATACTGTAACATATGATAATGATAGCTGAAAGGAGTTGGGGTAACAATAGAGCTATGTTGGAGGAAGGAAATAATACTAGATAAGTTGAGTGCACTGGAAGAAATAAAAAATACCAGAACTGGTAAATGTGCATGCTTATGTTAAAGACACTTTAAATATGCTTCTCCTTTCCTTTTTCAACTTCTTTCATAGATACATGATTGTAAAGCAATACTTGTAACACAATTGTTGTGCCTATTACATATGTAGATAACATATGTGACAGTAATCACATGATAGTGAGAATGCATAGAACTGTATTGGAGCAATAGGCTTAAGTATTTTGCTGGAATTAAATTAGTATTAATCTGAAGTTGATTGTGATAATTAAGATGCATACAATCTCTAGAGCAAACACTAAGAATATAGCTTTAAAAAGTTAAAACATCAAGAAAAGAATTTTAAAAAAGGAAAAAGATTTAAATGTTATACTATACAAATCTATTGGACAGAAAAGAAGAAAGTAAGGGAGAAACAAAGCAGCAAAAAGATGAGATAAAAAATAATGTCCTGGCTGGTGTGGCTCGTCGTCCAGTGCACCAAAAGGTGGCAGGTTCAACTCCCAGTCAGGGCACATACCTAGGTTTCGGGTTCAATCTTGGATCAAGGCACATACAGGGGGCAACAAGTTGATGTCTCTCTCTCTCTTTCTCCCTTTCTCTCTCTCTAAAAAACAACAACAAAGAAACATATCCTCGAGAGCTCTGCATTCTGGAGTGAGTGGGTTTGGCATGGCATTCCGAGTCCCCGCAACAATGAGTGCTGCCAAGGAGTCCCGTCCACATTGGGTGAAGCATTCAGCCTCCCCAGATGATGATCTTGGATCTAGAAATTGGGAGGCAACAGACTTAGGTAACGAAGAAAG